GACAGTTTTGTCCGCGCTTTTGCCTTACAGTGGTCCTGTACATTGCTCCCTGTACCAAATTTTAACCATTAAAACTACATCGATGCTGTTATTCGAATAACAGAAGTTCCTGGAAAATAATTAGCAGGACGATCTGTAGTTTTCCTGTCATAATTTTTTGCAGTGCAGTAATTCGTACAGGACGCCCAATAAATTTTTAGTGTGGTCCTGACTGTATTTAATTTAATTCAGGCCGACTTGTTCCGCCTGTTACAGTCTGCACTGTATTGTAGAATACGGTCAGCCTGTATTCAAATTTACAGTCTGACCTGTTACAATCTGGACTGTAAAATTGAAGTTTAGTCAGACTGTAATGCTAGACTAGTGGGTGGAAATGTCAAATGCGTTATTGTAAAATTTGTCTGATATGGTCCTCTGTAACGGCCTTATAAGGTTTTTATTTTACAGTCTAGGCAGTGAATTAAAATACAGTCCAGTCTGTATTCTGAACTAAATCCAGACTATAACAGGCCAAACCGTAAAAATACAGTCCGGCCTGTATTTCAAAATACAGTTGAACCATAAAATTAAAGGTAGTTCCTGAGCGTAAGATAAGATACAGTCTGACCACATAATAAAATACGGTTAGGACTGTGTGCTCACTGTAATTGGCTATTTTTTGAACAGTGAGACAAGCGTCATTACCGAGTTCAGAGTGTCGAAAATTAATAATCCCAGTTTTCGCAAGTCCTCCTCACACCCTCGCTATTACTTGTACTCCGAGTTTCAGGTGGCGTGGCAGAGCCCCCGCCGAGTCCGGGGTGGGGTGCGCGTGGGCTGGGCGGCCCCGGCCGGCCCGAGTCAGAATAATGAACCCCCCACAGTGAGATTATCGCGGGCGAAGGCAGCGCGGTGCGCACCTGGTACCGGCGCTGAATAGGCCAGACCATAGCTACTTTGACTAGGCCGGGCGGGGCGGGGCGAGGAGGGTTGGAGTTGGGCGCGTCGAGCTCACAGGACCGCCCGACCCTCTCTCCTCTGTGCTCTTGCTCTGCCATGGCCCATGGCGCTGGTGTGTTCTTATGAGCCGCTCAGTCGCTAATTTGTAACTGCTCTGCGCGCTAAAGAGCTTGTCCCTAGCATAACGGCCCTGGGGTGAGAGAGAGAGAGCGAGAGAACCCTTGCGGGTATATGTGTGTATGCGCGCGCAGCCGCGGTTGAACGGGGAGGGTGAGGGGCACTGTGCTTGCGCGGGTGGACAAATGCTGCTCCGTAAAACTTCTCCACTATAAAGGCTGTCATATTACGCTAGAGTATGTGTCACATACTGACATGCAATACACGGAAAAAAAGACTTTGTTGTGAGGATCAACTATCAACTCTGTTTGGTAGGCTAAATCCCATATCTGTAATCGAAAATCTGACACCCACAACTAGAAGTTGGTTGTCACGGTCTCACACTTGCTTGTACGAATAGAACAAACTCTAGCTTGGATCTATTCGTACAAGTGTCCGGTCGTCATACTCCTGGTTGTGGGCATCGGGATCTCGATTCAGCTATCGAACTTTGCCTACCAATCAGAACTTATCCTCACAATAAAGTCTTTTTGCGTCCGTGCACATGTAAAACAACAACACTGAAAATTGTTGTGTATTGTTATGTTGGCACCACTGCCTGACGTCACATTATCAAATTTAATTTCATAGTTCGCCTAGCAATTTTTTGCTTAGATAGTATATGTTTAAATTATTAATCGTATTTGTTGTAGGTGAAACTTTTCACTTTGCTTTAAAGGAAGAGGCGCCGGCTAATTATTGTGCGCCATAAGTGCTGCTGCACACGCTGTGATCTTCCTCAGACGACAAACTTGGCACCTTTATTACTTTTTGCTAAAGCTGTAGTGAATGCCTTTGAAAGGCATCCAATCTGCCGCGGGCAGTAAAGTTTACCACCTGCTGAGCGTTTTATTGCCTTGCAATGAAAGAGCATTAAAGTCAAAACTGAGAAGTAACCCTAGGAGGGGGATGCTCCGGAACGTACTACGTCTGTTTTACCGCCAACTGTTTCTAACTCCGCCGTGCATCAATAAAAAGTGCGCAGCCGTTCTCTGCCTCTGGGTGCGCCTTGCCCCTGCGGTGCTGAGCCGGGCGGCAGAGCAGAGCTGAGCCGAGCCGACTCGGGCCTCTCTCAGCATCCCTGGGAGAGAAAACTACTCAACTGCTGGAGTTGGCGCAGCCGGTGGCAGGTGGCCCGAGGCGGGGGCGCGGCGGGGGCGGCCGCAGGACCAGCAGGGACCGCAGGACCGGCAGCGGCGAGGGGGTCGCGGGAATAGTAGCAGGGGCCCGCAGGGAGGCTACAGGAGGCGTTGAGCGGGCACAGCCAGGGCAACAGCAGAGCCTTGAATAACTGTCGATAATTTGTCCAGGGAGTAAAGCCCAGAGCCTGGGGGAGGCCGACGCCTCGCGGCGCCTTCGCCTACTCAGCAATGGCCGAGTGGACTCGTGTTGGTCAACTCCATCCCGCCTGAGGGAGAAGTTGGGGGAAAGGGAGCAGTACAGAGTTGTATTGCCATCAGTGTCGGTGAAAATAACCAAGGTAAATCCTTTGATTGCGCGCGTTTACAAATTTTTTAAACATTTCCCTTCGCACGTGAAATGTGAACGTTAAGTCGCCCTGCGCAATATTTTGAACATTCCCCCTTTTATCCCTCCCTATAATCCCTTCGTGCCCTCACCCTTCAGGAATGTAATTTTGATGTTTTTGCCCCTCTGTATTGCAGACAGGCCCGCCCCCTTTCCCCCGGAGCTCCCTGCCCCTCCCACTAATACCCCTTTCTCTCTCACTCTCTAGTGCGCTATGAGAGGAACGGGGTGAAAACAGAGGCTGAACCTTGTCCCGGCAGGATGACTGGGGCCCGGGGGTTGGTCTGCAGGGGAGGTGTGAAAGGGGGTCGGAGAGTGAGCAGGGGGCGAAGCGACGCGGCATGCGAATCAACAGATGTACCGCTGCAGCAACGGGACGACATGTTTCGGAGCGTTGATTATGATGTTTGTTGTTCCCCTTCTACGCAAGCAATCGTTGCTCATTTTCCTAGGCGTAGCATCGGAAAATAATCCATGTGCTTTTTTAATGCCTTCTGAATTTTTAGCTGATTTATGAAAAAAAAAAAACCTGATAGATCCAGAGAGAAGGATCCTTGAAGGATGTCGCAGATGACATGAACGACCTATCCTGCGATCTCTCTTCTCGTCTTTTTTTTTCTTGACACCCTTCTTTTTTTCTCCCTCCCCTTCCGGACGAGAAATGTGAACCTGACTCACTACTCACCGTCACCGTGGTAGTGGTTTGTGGGCGGCCCGGCGGCAGGCCGGCTGCGGGTCGTGGCTCCGGCTGGTCTCTCCCTCCCTCTCTCTCTCTCTCTCTCTCTCTCTCTCTCTCGCTCGCTCGCTGCCGCCCCGGCGGTGCGCGCGCCACAGGCTCCCGGCGCGGTGGCGCAGCCCTTGCTCCGGCGGATCCGGCAGGCTCCGGCACACGGCTCGGCGGGGCTCGGCGGGGTGGTGAAGTCGCACTGGCGCGGGCGGCGCTGCGGCGGCCCCTGTGCTCCGGTCGCTCACTCCCCCTACCCCTCGCGCCCCCTCCCCTCACCGCCGGCCGCGCCCCCCCCCCCCCCACCCCACCATCAGCCCCGCGAGAGAGTAGGGGGTCAAGCCGGAGGGGTGTAAAGCACTGTGCCATGCGGGGGCCCCGGGGCCCAGCCCCCAGCACCGAGGGCTCCCCCACCTGCACCGTGTTATGGGGGGATTAACCGAACCCTGTTAATAATTTATGAAATAATACAGACGCGGGAGGGCACCAAAGGTAGTATCAAAAGTCGGCGAGCTTTGCGTGTATTCTGGAAAATGCCGCTGAACCGGTAACACGGTCATGTAACGTGCATTGTGCCGTTTTTGAACGTCATGCCAGAAACATTGGAATTTACAAAAAATGTACGTCTTGTTTCCTTTATGCATTACGTTCTTTGGAATTTGAAGTTTTATTGTTGTTTAGTAAAACCTTTTGGAAGTAACAGTGTGTTTTTTTTCTTAATCAAAGTACATTTTTAAACAAATTTAGGAAAACATTCCATTTTTTACAATTAGCTACCTACAATTTGTGTTTGTAAACTTTGGAACGCGGCTACAGTTCTTTACTGGTACATTTGTTATCAGTTTCGATACATTTCTCTGTTCTTGTTCAAACCCTACCATTCGTAAAGCCATCGATGCCATTTTTTTTTAATGAGTTTCTGGCGAAGTGATAAAGTTTTATCTCGCGGGCAGCCGGATGGCAGTATAAATTGATGGCGCGCCCGCCCACTTGCAACTTGTAACAGTAACAGCCCCCTAGCATTCGCAACATTGTGTGTTGTTGAGCCGGCGGGTCTCCGCAAAAGTGGGTCTTGACCACTGTGCGGCGTGCATGCACTATGCAAATACAAATGTGAGTGGACGAGAATGAATGGGCGCGCCGGTCTATTTTCCCGCCCTTCTTGTTTTCTCCCTCTAACCTCTCTCGCCTATGCCTGTCTCTCTCTCTCTGGCTCTCTCTGTAAACAAGAGTCCTGTTAGTTTTACAGCGAGTGAAATGGCTTTGGTTACAGCTCGGCGCAATGCACCCTCCTCTTTGCTGTGGCGAGAGCAGCAGGGGTAACTGGCAATACACCCCTTCTCACCGCGGTGCCGATACTCCTCGCAACAGACACACAGGCTCCACTTCGACAATCTTCCGACTGCGCGTCGTGTGAAGCCTGACAGTAAAGTTAGGTGAGTGTGTTTGACCTCAAGGGGTTTGACCAAGCTGAGTCTCTCGGCGTTAACTGACGTAGCAGGGCTCGAACTGCGTGGCGGCGCGCTTGCGCTCCCACAGGAGGGTCGGCGCCTCGCGCGCCGAGTGCGCGCCGTGCACGGAGCGCAGCGCGGGCAGGCGTGGCAGGACGGCGCGCAGGGCGTCCAGCTCGCGGCCGCGCAGCTCGCAGCTGCACAGGTGCAGGTGCTCCACGCTGGCGGGGGCGGCGCGCAACAGGTGCGGCAGCTGCGTCGGCAGCCAGTCGCCGGCCAGGTGCAGGCTGCGCACCTGCCGGCTGGCGGCCAGGACGGCGACGGGGAAGTCGAGGTCGTCGTCCAGCTCGAGGCGCAGCTCCTCCAGCCGGGCCAGGACGGCGACGGGGTCGCCCCACCGGGCCGTGACGTCGTCGGCCTGGTGCCGTCCTCGGTTGCGGTGGAGTGCCCAGAGGAACTCGTGGTCGGGTCGCTCGTAGGAGAACCAGAGGCGGAGAGTGCGGAGCTGTGGCAGGCGGCCGACCAGCGCCGCGCCGTCCACGTAGTCCGCCCCGAGGGAGCGCAGTCCAGGGCACGTGGCCGCCACCTGTCCAAACGTCGGGCACTGTCAGGGGAGACGCGCCGGCCCAGAAAGAGGCTGACGGAGAAAAGTTTGGTCCAACTTTTCTTCTACTGCCCTCTCTCGCCTTGTCTCTCTCTCTCTCTCTCCTCCCGCTCGTCTCCCCACTCTGCACTCACCTGCTCAAGGACGGCCCTGCCGACGACGCAGTGCCTCCGGGGCAGCACGAGCCCGCGCAGTGGCCTCCTCGCCGTGATCGCGGCCACGAGCACGGGGCCGAAGCTGCTCTCCACGTGCTCCACGTCCAGCTGCTGGAGGGCGGGGCAGCCGCGGGCCAGGTCGTCGAGCGCGGCCGACAGTAGGCTGAAGACCCACCCTCTGACCCGGAGCGTGAGCAGCGTAGGGGACGCGGCCACGGCGCGGAGTATCTCCGTGCCGATGTGCGCCGCGCTCGCGTACCCCAGGCACAGGTCTAGCGTCTCCGCGCGCGCGGAGTAGTGGCGTACGAGGGCAGCCACGGCCGGACTGTCCCACCACCAGAGCGTCAGCTTCAGACTCCGGACCCGCGCGCATCCCTGCAGATGCACACAAGGTTTTGAATTAGTACCTTAATTTGTGGGATTGATTCACACAGACGTTTAAAACAAACCAGCAGGTAGTCTCTGGATTTGCCACGCTATTCCCGCACCTTTTCTATCTGGTCCATGTGCTCGTGCACCCTGGCGGTCGCGGCGACGGTGAGGTCCAGCTCGCCGAGCTCGGGGGCCACGGCCACGGTGCGCAGGAAGCTGTCGACGTGGTCGCCGTCGCACCTGACGCGGCGGCGGCGCCACAGCGAGGGACAGCCGGCCAGGCGTCGCCAGCGCCGGCACACGTTGCGGACGGGGCCGCCCAGCTGCAGCGCCTCGGTGGGCAGCAGCCCCAGCACCAGCAGCAACAGCTCCGA